GACGCCACAGCACTCTAGCCAGGGCAACAAAGCCAGACTCTGTCTCAAAAAAAAAAAAAAAAAAAAAAAAGTTATCCCTGAACCAGCATTCTGATCACACAAAACTAAATAATGTATGAAGTGTTTTAAGGAAGGCAAGTAGACAACTAAAAATATACTTCTTCCATATTTCTGAGTTCCTTATCTCACACCTGAGACTCCGATAGTTTGTCTCTCCTTGCAAGCTATTGTTAGAAAATGGGCTTAGTTTCTACATGTTTTTCTTCTAACTTAAGAGCCTTTATGTTGATGAGATCTGCTCCTAGAATGTAATGTTTATCACTCTCTGGCCACAAAATATTAATTCATGTTTATAAAGCATTAGTCACTTTAAAAATAAATTTTGCTTCATTTTATAACCTTTTAAGGAGAGAAGAGATAAAGGCAGGAAGAACAGAAATGAAACTGGTCTATAAAATGAGCCTTTACGAAAACATTTTTAAATTGTACTAGGAGAAAAAGAAATGATTAAATCAAATTTTAAGAGATTGTGGGTCTAATACTCTTACCTATGCAGTTGGATATACTCTCGGGGTCTGTTGAGCAGGTGAAGGAATCTGTCAACAATCTTGTTTTTTCCTACACCCTGTAATTACACAGACAAACAAAAAGAGGCTTTTGTCTGGAGGTAAGTTTAAGCCAAACCAGAAGAAGAAGTTTTCTATTTCTCAAAGTTGTACTATTTTAGTTTATTGTTCATGAAAACCAAACTGACAAACATATACAGTATATCTCCCATGACATAAAGGTTTTTGAAAAAATTTACCTCTAAACATACTACTTCTAAGCTATTCTTATTTAAAAGGAAATCCATAAATTAGCAGCCTACATCTTGATTTTTTTTGTTCTATAATTTTACACTGAAATCTAGGCATTATAGCTGAAGATTATTTCAGATTTGAAGAATGCCATCAAATATGATCAAGTAAGTATAAAACAATGATTTTTCTAATCATTTCTTCAGAGGTACCGTTTTTAGTATGGGAAGATAAATATAATACTGCACTTTTTCTGCTGTAATAAAACACTCATTTCTTCTCCTTTTAAGCCACTTTCCAGTCCTTTAAAACCCTGGAAACCTAAAATTATAACCCAGGTATATTAATAAAATTCAAGTATGTGTGCTTTTCCTAGAAATACCCTCATTTCCTTACCACTTACTGATGCTGAGAGTTGCTACCCTTGTGTAGAAGACAGACTGTTAAAAATGGAATCCACCCCCAAGCTATTTCCCTATGTTAAAGATTTCACGGCCGGGCGCAGTGGCTCACGCCTGTAATCCTCGCTCTCTGGGAGGCCGAGGCGGGCGGATTGTTTGAGCTCAGGAGTTCGAAACCAGCCTGAGCAAGAGCGAGACCCCGTCTCTACTAAAAATAGAAAGAAATTAATTGGACAACTAAAAATATATAGAAAAAATTAGCCGGGCATGGTGGCGCATGCCTGTAGTCCCAGCTACTCGGGAGGCTGAGGCAGAAGGATCGCGTGAGCCCAGGAGTTTGAGGTTGCTGTGAGCTAGGCTGACGCCACGGCACTCACTCTAGCCTGGGCAGAAAGAGTGAGACTTTGTCTCAAAAAAAAAAAGATTTCACTTAGAGGTGGAATATAATTAATGGGGTGTAAATCTTTTAACAAGTAGAAGAGTAGGAGTGGTTAAAAAGCTGAGTTCTATATCACATGTGATAGCAAAAATAACTGTTTATTGATGGCTTATACAAGTTGAGCACCCCTAATCCGAAAATCGGAAACCCCAAATGCTCCCAATTCTGAATCTTTCTGAGTGCTGAAATGATGCTCACATGGAAACACTCAGATTAGGGATGCTCAACCGGTATGTATATCCAAATATTGCAAAATCTGAAAATATCTGAAATTCAAAACACTTCTGGTCCCAAGCATTTTGGATAAGGGATACTCAACCTGTATTGTGACAGGCTCTATGCTAAGTACATTCACGTGTTATTTCACTTAATCATCACAACAGTCCCATGAGGTAGGTTACTGTGATTATTCTAACCTCACGAATCAATAAACCAAAGCTCAGAGAAGTTAAGCAATGTGTACACAATCACACAGCTAATCATAGTGGAACGAGGACTCAAATTCAGGTCTGTGTGATTTTGATGCTCACACTGTTAGCCCCTACATTATATATTTCTTTCAGTTTGAAATTGATTTTGGTAAACTGGGGGCCTTAAATTATCTCTTTCTCCACTTCTAGGATTCATCCTAAAGAAATAATTAGGCAGATTAGGGCAATGCATAGAGCACAGCAGCAATAGCAGAAGCCCAGTAAAGAAGCAGACATTATTATTGATATTTTTACTACATGCTCAAGTATCTCATAAAGAAAAGCATTCTATAAGCACCAAAGATAAAAATTAAAATCAAGTGAATGTCTATTTATTGAGTGCCATGGAAGGCAGGGACTATATCCATTTTGTTTATCACTATATTCTGCAGAGCCCAGCACAGTGCCTGACACAAAGAATGCATTCAATCAATATTTGTCAAACGAATGAATGAATACAGGGAGTTTAGGAAGTACTGGAAAAGGGGTGCAACTTTTGGTAAAATACAAACAGTGTCCACGTTAATAAAGATGCTGAATAATGGAATCTGTGATGCATTATGAACTTATAAAAGTTGGGCAAGTTTTACAAATGATCCAACTTATTTCACCTAGAAGATTCTGATTCAAGGTTGTTAGATCTCAATATCAAATTGACAAATTCACTAAAGTAAGAACAATGGATCATTTCATCCATTAGGAATCTTTTCAATATCCCACTGGATTTCACCCAAAATAGTTTTAAGCCTCACACTGAAGCACAAATAAGGAAAATTACATTTTTGCATTTGTACGTAAATTAAACAAGTACATGAGCTTTAAATGGCATGCTGCAATAAACATAAAATTTTAAATAGATAAATTGAGATGAGTTAAAATATCTGTATTAATAGTTTAGTTCTGTTAAATTCAGTGATCCTAGAGAAAAGCAAACATAATAAATGCATTATAATGTTGGCAATATGAAGGATTTCCTGAAAGAAATAAGTCATGAAAAGCTATTATCAGGGAGCTGCTCCCCTCGTCCACCTCCACAGTTATTGAATCAGCCATGCCTTTTTCAAATTCTTCCTGAGTAGTATGCTGTTTAGGAGTGATGGGCTGTTTACAAGTCCCATAAATGTAGAATGAGATGTGGAGTCCTGGCAGCCACTAAGGAGCTCTTTTACTGTGTCTCTTTAAATGTTCGAGTCTCGGCCGGCGCGGTGGCTCACGCCTGTAATCCTAGCACTCTGGGAGGCCGAGGCGGGCGGATTGTTTGAGCTCAGGAGTTCGAGACCAGCCTGAGCAAGAGCGAGACCCCGTCTCTACTAAAAATAGAAAGAAATTAATTGGACAACTAAAAATATATAGAAAAAATTAGCCGGGCATGGTGGCGCATGCCTGTAGTCCCAGCTACTCGGGAGGCTGAGGCAGAAGGATCGCGTGAGCCCAGGAGTTTGAGGTTGCTGTGAGCTAAGCTGATGCCACGGCACTCTAGCCAGGGCAACAGAGACAGACTCTGTCTCAAAAAAAAAATTAAATGTTCGAGTCTCCAGAGAGCCAACCTCAGCTGTCTTCTTGCTCCATATACTCTCTCTGGGAAATCTCACCCACTCCCATGACCTCAGCGATCAGATACGGCTCTCACTTCTTTCTTAAGCTCTATTTGATATCCCCATCTCTAATTGTCAAATGAAATTCTGTACCAGCTGTTCATACTGAACTCATTATGCTTCCACCCAAACCTACTCTTCTTTCTTTTTAACCCCAATAACAGTATTGCCAAGTACCCAGCTGCTCAGTGAAAGAATCTTAGAATATTTTTGACTCTTCCATTTTTTTCCCCTGACATCATTCAAAATGTGACTAGGATCTTTGCAGTTCCTACCTGCAAAACTTTCAGTTTTTTTCCTTTCCTGCCATTGCTTGGTTTTCCTTCCTTCCCTTCTTTCTCTTCCTTCGTTTACTCCCTTCCTCCTCCCACTTCCTTGTCTAATTCATCAACTATTTGAATACCTAAAGTTACCGCACTGTACTAGCTGAACTGGATACAATGGTAAATAAAAGCCTACGGTCCCTGGCCACAGTCACAGATTAGAGTTTAGTGTGGAACACAGACAATTAAGCAAATATTAATATAACAGATACAGCATTATCATATGGGGCTCCAAGATACTTGAAGATTTAACCTAAGGGCTCAGAAAGGCCCATCCCAGAGTTATGTTTAAATTGAGATGTCAAGGAATTAAAGAGGTACGGGGAAAGAAGAGAAGGGGGAGCGTTCCAGGTAGACAGAACAGTATGTGTCAAGACTTGTGGGTAACAGTAAGCTGGAGAGCTGGACAGGTCTGTGAGATGTCACAGGCTAGAGAGGAGTGAGGAAGGGAATGATAAGGAACGAGGCTAGAAAGGAAGATGGGGTCTAGCTCTGACAAAGCCTTGGAAGCCATGTAAAAGAGTTTGGACTGCTTCCTAAGAGCACCAAAAAAGCCACTGAAGCAATGGAGCAATAGGATCAGATTTCCAGTTTTGGAAAATCACTGTGATCTGGCAGAGAGTAAAACAGAAAGCAAAGGAAAGCAGTTTGGAAACTCCTTCAAAATTTTCAAGCGGCAGGTGATGACAGCCTAAACTAAGGGGTAGAGAGAAATGGATGGATTTAAGAGATGTTTAGGAAAAAGGACTAATAGGACTCGGTGATGGACTGGAGATGGGGATGGGTAGAAGAAGTCAAAGTTTTGTCTTGAGCAACAGGGTGGTAGACTGAAGGAGAAAAAGGGAGGAGAAGTGGATTTGCTGGGTGGGGAAGGGAAGTCTAGTTACAAAAAGACAGTTTAATTTTGGGTATGTTTACTTTGAAGTGCCTGCTTCCCATATCTGCTGCTTCCTCTCGAATTCACTGTCTCAGCTCAAGGGCAGCTCATCCTCCTCTCCAGACTCCTGGAAAGGGTTCAAGTTTGTTTCCCACCTCTGGATCCATAACAGGACAATCCACAATTTGTTTAGTTATTTTTCTAAAACAGAGATCTCATTAGGTCGCTTCCTACTTCATTTTAAGAAGCTCTGATAATTCCTTCGAGGAAATGCTGAAAGCAAAATCTAGGAAAGAATTTCTGTAAATATCCTGAGTAAAATGAAACAGTTATTGTGACTTGTTCCTTCTAATCAGAGTTTTTGCCTAGAACAGAAAATCCTCAGGATTATTTTAATTGAATAAATACATAAATAGTATCTTATTTTTCCACTGTAAAGGTTATACATACTCATTTTTCTCACTGGGAAATTGAGAAAACAAAACATCACCCAATGTGCACCTGCTAAAAAAAAATCTGTTAACATTTTCATTTTGTTCCTGGGCATATTTGTCTTTACTTAGTAGTGATTATTCTGTATAAAGGATAATTTGTATCCTTTAATAAAAATTAATATGAAATGATACATTTTTACATCATTATTAACTCTTTTTGAGGGTAATAGTGAGTGAAAATTTAAAAAGGAGGAAGCAGCCAGTGGAATCAGAGATCCTAAAAAATATA